GCCGCCGCCGCCGCCGCCGCTGCCGCTGCCGCCGCCGCCGCCGCCGCCGCTGCCACCACCACCTCCATCGACACTCCCGCCTACGCCCCCCCCTCCAGGCCCCCTGCAGTGCTGTCGCCCGCCGTGTCGCCCCCCCCGACACACGCTTTCGCCAATACTACGTCCGGCTCCGACTACCCCCCGTACTTCCCCCCGGTGCCGGACACCGCTCTCCCCGGCCCGGGTCAGGATGCCAGCACCACCGGTGCCAAGTTGAACAGCGCCGGTGCTTCTGCCGCCTCTCCTGGCCTTGGGCACATGGACCCCCCACTGCACGCGGCAGCCGCCGCCGCCCCTGGGCCTTCCTTTGCCCGGCATGACGTCCCCTCGGCTGGGCCCGGGGGGTACATGCTCGGGGCGCCGGCCCACCACTTGCCCAGCCCGTCGGCCGTGAATTTCCCCAACTACCACGGTGCGCCGTGCCCTTTGCGCACCTTCCCCTGCTTGATTTTCCGTCGCCCTTGTCTGTTGCGAGTGCTGCTGCCGCGAGTGCTGCTACCGCGAGTGCTGCTGCCGCGAGTGCTGCTGCCGCGAGTGCTGCTACCGCGAGTGCTGCTGCCGCGAGTGTTGCTACCACCACCACTGCCGCTCCTACCAGCGGAGGCGGCGGCCTTGCCTGCCCATTGTTCTCCCTTCCACTGACGCCAATCACCCGGTCACAGACATCGGGCGCCCACGGGCATACTCGCTGCCGACCACGGCCTATACGGCGCCGCCCGTCGTCGGGCCCCTGCCGGTGTCCCAACACCAGTACTACCATGCCCGGGCGTCGCCTCCTCCCAGTGGCAGCGGTGGCGAGGCGCCCGCTGGTGATGATAGCCCCGCCTCCGGGGGCTCCGGGCGCGAGGTCCGACTCTCCTCGCAGCCCGGGTCCTCTCAGTCCTCGGCCGCTGGGACTCCCAGCGGCTTGGGCTTCGGCGGCAGCAACCCCGGTGCCGATGGCAGTGAGCCGGACACAGCATCCACCGTGGGCCCCCAGGAGCCGGCCGCCGCCCCGACCGCCGGGGCAAAGGCCGAGGCTCCGCGTCGGCGCCGGCGTCGGGCACCCAGCCGCCCGGCCGCCGGGTCCTCGAGCCCCAACGCCACGACCCCCACGCCCGGCGGCCGGGACCCCTCGCAAGCAGTCAAGGCCTCGGGTGAGCCCCCGGGCACGGATGCAGCCTCCTCGGCCCGGCCCGGCTCCCCGGTCCCCCAAAAGCCCGCGGCCACCTACGTTTCCAAGGCATGCACCAACTGCCGGAAGTCTCATCTGGCATGCGATGAGAGCCGCCCCTGCCGGCGATGCATCAGCGCCGACAAGGCGCACTCTTGCGTCAGCGGCGTGCACAAGAAGCGTGGCCGGCGCTCGCGCGCCGAGATCGCCCAGTCTGGCGGCGCCGGCGCCGGTGCCCAGGCCGCTGCTTCGACCTCGAAGGCCGAGCCCCCGGCCACCGAGGCGGCCACTGGCGCTGCCACCACTGGCGCCGCCGGCGCCACTGGCACTGCCCCTGATGCGGCCACTCCCGCCGTTGCTGCTGCCGCTGCCGCTGCGGCCACCGCCGCTCCCGCCGCTCGCGTCACGGAAACCCATGACACGGCCAAGGCCCGAGACGGTCGCAAGGGTCACCGTGCTCGTGAAGGGCTCGAGGCCGGTTCCTCCGCGGGCCGTGCCGATGGCCCGGTGCCTGTGGTCTCGGAAATCCCCGGGGTCTGCGCCCATGCCTCCTCCTCGACATTGGTGCGCATGGAGCACCTTGCCATTGCGGGAGATTGTCCCCCGATGCGGTCACCTCCGCGAAAGGCCGAGGCCACCAGCACCGGGTCTTCGACGCCAGCCTCGATGGGGCCCTCCGTAATGATGGCGCCGCCGCCGCCGCCGCCGCCGCCGCCGCCGCCGCCGCCGCCGCCGCCGCCATCGGGCCTTCTCCTTTCCGACCCCTACTACCCCGGCATGATGGCGCTGCCTCCGGGAGACCATCCGTCTCGCTCGCTGGCGGGTTCCCACCATGCGCCGGTGTCCTCGGCGGCGTCCCCCTCGCCAGTTCACCCTCCGCACAAGCCGCACCAGCTCCCCTCCCATCATGCCCTCCATGGCCACCCGCCGAATGGCGAGGCCTCCGCCGGCACGGGCTTCTACTCCCAGCATGCGGCCCTGCCAAGCCTACCCCCGGCTGCATCTCATGCCTCGACTCCGGCATACCAATCGCCCCCGCAGTCGCATCCGCCCTCGCACTCGCACCCCCACCATCATCACCACCACCACCACTATCACCACCACCAGCACCAGCCGCAGCAGCCACCATCGGCACATCCCCCCTCGCAGCCGCTCTCGCTGTCACAGTCGCGGCTCCCTTCGCATCCACACCCGCATGATCCCACGCACCTGCAGCCACAGCGCCAACAGCCACAGCCCCCGTCGTATCCGCATCCGGCCTACTACAACGCTCAAGCCTACTACCAGTCGTCTTCTTCTTCGGACCCGGATGGCGATTCATACCAGGCCCCGGCCTACCAGGCCCAATCCTTTGCCGGAGAGTCGACTCACCCGGGACACTACTATCCGAGTCCGCCTCTTCCAGTAGCCGCGTCAGGCGCCACCAGTGGCCTTGCCTTTGCCGGGGCCTGGGGGTCTGCCTCGGTGGACAATTTCACCGCCGGCCCTCCCCATGGCGCGTATGCCCCTGCCCGGTTTGATGACACGATGCAATTCACCGTTGCGGCAAGCCCCGCCGGGGGGCCGGCCTTCTCGCCACCCTCGCTGGCGCAGCAGCAGCATCCCCTACCTGGAGGTGATCTGAGTTCGCAGTACGCTTCCCTCCCCCCCTCTCTTCCCTTGCTCCTGCCCTCGTTGGTTCTTTTCTCACACCCTCAATCTCCATTGCGTCGGCCCTCCAGCGGGCCAGCCCCGAGGACCGGTGTCGGCGCCCTGCCCGCCGATGCCCATGCCCCGGAGGTTTCGTACCCCGAGTCTGCGCCGCTGCTGCAGGCACACTCGCCGGCCTCGCCGCCGGGGAGTGTCGGTGCTGGCGCCCGGCACTCCGGCTTGCCGCACAAGCTCCAGCCCCAGCGCCTTGTGAGTCCCACCGAGTTGGATGGCCAGCTTGGCGCCCAATCGCGTGCTCGCTCGGACCCGGACCTCTTCCGCGCTGTCGGCGGGGATCCCCGGCCATCGGTGGCAACCGCCACGCCGGCCGGCCCCATGGCTGGCCATGCTGCGGTGGCCAAGCCGCCGACCACGGCCAGCTCCTCGAGCGGGGGCTTCGCCCATGCGGCAGGCTCGGGCCCGGTGTCGGCCGATGGCTTTGGCCCCAGGCGCTCGGCGACGGCCTTCGACCCGTGCCGCCGGTCGGAGCTCCTGCTCCAGCGCGCGGGGTCGCACGACAATCTCACCTTCTCCGGGGCGGGGCCCGCGCCGGGGGTGGCCGCCACCGCGATGCCGGTGACCGGCTACGCTGATCGTGCCCCGGTTCATCCCCCTCCAAGGGCGGACTTCAGCCCGGCCGCGTCTGCCGGTCACCCGGCCCCCCCGGGGCTTTCCGGTCGCCTGTCCCAGTCGCTGTCCTCGGTGGCACTTGGCTGCCCGCCTGCCGGAGACTCGAATGATCAACTCCATCAGCAACCGCAACAACAACAACAACAGCAGCAGCAACAACAGCATCACTCCCATCACCCTTCCTCCCATCACTTGGCGGTGGGCGTTGCTGCTGGTGCCGGAGCGAATGACGCCGCCGGGCTTGTGCCTCGCGGTCGGGCCCTGTCGGTTGCATCGGCATCCCCCTCGCCGAGCGCCTTCCGCCGGGCCCCGCCTTCTGCGGCGGTTTATGCTGTTGGCAATCTGCCCGGGGAGGATGTCCATCCTGGGTCGGGGGCCGGTGTGCATGCTGGCCCGAGCCCGACGGCCTTCCACTCTCCGGCGCCGGGGGAGCGCATCAAGCGCCCGAACCCGGTGGTCCATCGAAATCCCACGAGCGCGGCCCTGACGCGGGATATTGCCCCCTCCGGGGCGTCAACCATTCAGCCGACTCCCCTGAGGCCGCCCTCGCCGCCGACCATTCGCCAGTGCGTGCGGTATTCGCCCTCGGCAGCCGCCGTGGCCGGTGGTGTGGTCGCCGTGTCGCCGCCAGTGCCGCATCCCTCTGCGCAAACCATCGCCCAGCGCAAGTGCGCCTGCCCGTCGGACATCCACTGCATCTGTGGCGATGGCGGCACCGGTGCCTCGGGCCCCGGGAGCGCCGGCATCGGCAGCGGCAGCGGCAGCGGCAGCGCCAACGAAGGCGGCACTTCTGCACACCTGCTGGGGCCCGAGGTGTCGGCCTTCGCCGATCGCCCTCCGCACTACCCGTCGGCCTTTCGCCACGACTCGGACCCGGTGGCCGGGGGCCTGCAGTATGCCCCGCTGGCTGGCGGCCCCGGCTCCGGCGGCACTGGCGGCGGCCCAGCCACCGGGTCCCCGGCCGATGGGAGCCTCAATAGTGGCGGAAGCAGCGGCACCGGGACGCCGCGCCTGGGCAGCTCCCCCTACCCGGCGGTGATGTCCTACCGGGCAACCTCGCTGGGTCCCTCAAGTGCCATGTCGGCCTCCCCCTCGCCCGGTCCTTCCTCCGCGTCTCAGGTGTCGATCGGAGCGCTGGCGCTCCCATCCGCCGGAGGCCCCCCGGCGATGGTGGCGGCGCAGCCCCTGGCCGATCCGCATTCGGCGTCTGGCGGCGGCCCGGGGGCCGGCAAATGTGCGGCCTACTATGAGGTCCCGCACCCGGGCCTGCTGATGCCGGCCGGGCGTCCGGCCGGCGGGGATGCCCCCGTCGAGGGGTTCCTGTCGGCCGATGGCTTCCTGCCTGGGGCGGCCGTGGCACCGACCATGGGGCATGTGCGGCTCTCGCCCTCCTATGCGAGTGCCGTGCCGAACAGCCTGTCCCCGGTGCATGGGCACCCGGTGGAGCGGTCCCCGGCATCGGCCCCCAGCTCGGTGGCTCCTCATGCCATGCCGCCGGCGGCGGCGGCGGCCACCACGTCGCCATTGTTGCTGGGCTACTCGCCCCCGGCCGGCGGCGCGGGTGCTTCCCTTGGCCGTGCTGCCTCGGCCACCTCCCTGTACCCGGCCAGTGCCGGGGCCGATCCCCTCTTGCGTGGGGGTCCCCCAGCGAGTGGTGGCCTGGCGCCCGCTTCGGCCATGGGAATGGAGCAATCCCTGCACCTCCTTGGCTCGAACCCCCCGCCGCAGCATCATCGGCCGCACTCGGTAAACTTTCACATCAAGCCCGAGCTCCGGGTCAACACAACCCATGTGTCCATGCCGCCGTCGGGAGGCCATGCTTCCTCGATGTCAGCCCCCCCGGCGGCCGGCCCCCCGGGTGGTGGGCTCCCCCACCTCCTTTCGACAGCCCCTAGCGCGACCGGCGTGTCCTCTCTCAGTGCGTACTCTGTGGGCTTTGCCTCTTTGTCCCCCCCCCTCCCCCCTCTCTCTCTGCCTCCCGTGCTGTGGGCCACCCCCCTATTCTCGCCTTTCCCGCAATGCATGCCGACCTGTTCCTCTTCACTAACATGCTCCTATCCATGTGTGTGTGTGCTGCTCTCCAGGCCTCCCAGCCCAAATGGGCGACTACTCGCTTGATGCCAACTTGATGGCCGTGCCACAGCCATCCCCAGGCTCGGCGTTGCAGTATCCCATGTCGGGCCTCCCGTCGGATGGCGGTCCTCTTCGGCGTGGTGGTATGTCTTCCCCCGGTGGTGGGCGGCCGGCCCCTCTTGGGTGCATCCCATGTGTTGTTATTTTTCCTCCCTCCCCCCCCCCCTCTCTCTCTCTTTGCTCACATGCGCCCAACTCACCGTGGCCCCCTCCTCCTCTCCTCGTTTGTTCTTCCAGCTGCGTCCTTGTCTCCCCTTCGGCCGCTGCCTGCCAGTGACATTCTGAATGGTGGCAATCTGGCGCCAGTCGGCTCCGAGCCACTTGCCCATCACTCGTCTCGCCTGCCGGACGTCGGGGTGTACCGTCCCCGCCCCCTTCCACCGGCCGTGACAGCAGTGCCCCTTGCGCCGATGTGGCATGCGGTTGAGGCACCGGCGACATCCGTGTGCGATCATGCGGCCACCAATGCCGATGGCTCGATCATCACTTGTGGCCGTTGCTACCGCTTCGCCTGATGGCACCACGACATGCCGCATTCTTCCCTCCCTCCCTCCTCCCTCTCCCGCTCTGGTCCGTCCTCCCCCATCTTCCCCTTGTGGAACTTCCCTCGGTTTCCCACCAATGTGGGGCCCCTGCCCTTGCGACACCACCCTCCGGTCCCCCGAGACAGATATCCCCCTTCGTGCGCCTCCTGTGCGCCGCGGTCCATGTACTTGTACTTTTGCTCTCCCCCCCTCCCTTTCTGGCCCGCGCTCTCTCCTCGGTGTGTCCGTAAATACCCCTCCCCCCCCCTCCCCTCCCCTGCCTCTCCCTGTCTCTCTCCTTGCAATAGATCCCTTCCCTGCATGTGTTATTCCTCTCCTCCTCTTGTGTTTCCCTCTTGGGCATGCATTTATAGGTGGGCAGCTTCCTTGCGCCCTGCTGCCCGGGGGTGCCTCCCTCTCAGCAAAAGCCCGGGATCCTTCGCCAGGCGATGTTTGGTCTCGCATTGGCCTTCTCTCGGGCCGAACGTATCACACGGCTTTCGCGAACTTCAAAGAGCATTCCTATTCAGGAAGAAGGAGAGGAGAGAGGGGAGGGTAGAGGTGGGCCATTTCCACGTCCGACAGGAGGGGGGGGGGGGCGGCACGCATCGAGGCGGGAGGTCGATTGCCGGCGCACATGGCGTCGCGACAAAGGGGTGATATGCCGGGAGGATGGGTCCCAGAGGGGGAGCACACCACCAGACGGTCTTGTCCATGGTGTCAAACAGACTCGGCCCAGCCATGCCGGCCACGCTGGCTCCTGGCTCACGCCTGCGCGCAGCTCGCGCCGGCCGTGTCAGTGCCCTAGGTGGCGGCCTGCTCGGCCAAAGGCTGGACCGGCGCCTCGGGATCGGCGAGGGGCACGAAGAACTTCGGCCGGCGGAACACATGGTACGAGTGCCGCCTGGAGCCGGGCCAGTGGAACATAACCGGGAAGCGAACCTGCTTCGGGATCAGCCGGTCGGAGGCGGCCTCATCGCCCACAAGGTGCTCATGATCCCCAAGGGCCCGGGACAGAGCGTGGACCTCGGGCCCACCGCCGCACGAGTAATTCAGGACGTCATGATCGCAGTGGGGCGTCTCGAGCATGGCAGTCTCCGTGGCAGCAGCCAGGGCCGCCAGCGGGGGCACTCCATACCGGGCCACCTGGAGCTCGGTGTCGGTGATGCCGCCGTGCGACACCCGGGCATACCCGAGGCGCTTGAAGCCCTGTGCGCGTTTTCCATTCCATTCCCAGCGATGCCCGAACAAAGTCGAGAGAGTGTGTGTGTGTGTGTGTGTGCGCGTTAGAAATATGCGTCCCGGGAGAAAGACTCACAGATGGGGCCACCATGTGTGCGTGCATGTGCATGCGCAGGGGCGCATGTGTGAAGAGGGCAGGAAAAAGAAAGGGACACCACAAACAAGCGCGGCGGCAGCAGCAGCAGCAGCAGCAGCAGCGGCGGCGGCGGCGGCGATCCAGACACATCGACTCCCACACGCACCCTGTAGCCCAGGTATTGGCACCAGCGGTTCGAGTCATCGGGATCGATGTCCCGGATGTTGCCCCCCTCAAAGAGGCGACGGTATTCCGGCGCATGGGGCTTGGTGACGACGTAGCCGGCGAAGGCCACCGGGCGCAGGCCGCTCGGGCGCGGCCCATGCCGCAGCAGGGTGGCCAGCCGACGTGTTTGCAACTCCCGATCCAGGGGATCCTCCTCCTGGCCATTGTGCGAGATGATGACATCCACCAAGCGGAAGCCGGCGGCCTCGGCCCGGTGATCCTCGCCGGCCACGCCGGGGCCGCGATCCACCGGGAACCGGTGGTGCACGGCATACGGGTGGTCATACGGGTCGGTGCCCCAGCCGAGATGCCCATCGCCATCGTGCCCGGCGGTCACCAGGTCCGCCGGGAGCCGGTAGGGACGCGGGGTGGCCGGCGAGATGGGCACCGCGATGGTGGCGTAAATGGCACAGGCCAGCTCGCCCACCGGCGAGGGGAGGAGCTCATGCCGGGACCGAACAATCGGATAGCGACTGAGCATGGCACAGCCCCACGTGTGTTCCAGAGGCCCGGGCCCATAGTCGGCGTACATGCCGAGGCGCTCGCCCAATTGCAGCGGCACGTCGCGGTTGCCGATGAAGGACCGCATGGTGTCGCTCTCCAGCAGACCAATGACATCGATGTCCATGTCCTCGATCAGCCGCGCCATGCGCTCATGACTGAGCCACATCTCATTGTCATAGCCAAAGTGGATGGTCCAAATGCCGACCGTCAGGGTGGGCATGTTGGCCGCCGGGGGCACGGCCCCGGGCAGCGTGTCCGGGCGGTACCGCGGCCCGATGTCCTGGCCATTGGCGGCCGCGGTGGCCGGGCCCTCCTCGTAAACCATGCGCACGGGGTGCATGCCGGTCGGGCGGATGTGCCGCGTGCGAAGCTGCACCGCCAGCACCAGCCCCACATGCAGGAGAATGACCACCACCCACACGCTCAGGCGCTCCAGCGGGGCACTGGCCCCCAGCCGGCCGCCGGTCCCGGTGCCAAAGTACCGCCGGGTGCCGAGAAGCAGGACCAGGGCCGTCAGCGCCGCCAGGAGGCCGGACTTCTCCCGGAAGTACACCCCTCCCGGGACAAAGGCATAGGCCACGACGAAAGCCTGGAAGAAGAGCCCCACCAGGAAGACCACATGCCCGAGGGTGATGGCCAGGGGAGCCGCCCGGCCGCCGAGGCGCGACAACGCCCGCAGGGTGGCCGGCCAGACGCACGCCGCCTGGAAGGCCACGGCCAGCCCCCCGGCGAAGCCCAGCTCCGGCGTCGGGCGCCACATCAGCAAATAGGCCCCGACAGCGCCGAAGGCCCAGAGGAGCGTGCTGCCGGCGGCCCCGGTGAAGAGCCCACACAGCAGGCCGAAGGAGAGCGCCGGCACCAGGAGCAGGCCCCATGGCAGGGGCATGGGCCCGTGGTCCGGGTAGTGCTGCACCACCATGCGCGGGATGACCGCGATGTCGGTCAGCATCCAGTGCGTCAGGGCCACCAGCGTGCCGTAGATCAGCCCCACTGGGAAGAGGTGCGCCCTTGTGGCGGGAACGCGGCAGGGAACCCGTCGAGGAGAAGGCCGGGGGAAGTCCGGGGGAAGTCCGGGGGAAGGCCGGGGGAAGGCCGGGGGAAGGCCGGGGGAAGGCAGGGAAAAGGCCGGGGGAGGGCAGGGAAAAGGCCGGGGGAGGGCAGGGAAAAGGCCGGGGGAAGGCAGGAAGAAGGCAGGAAGAAGACAGGGACAAGGCGGAGAAATACCCGTTAGCAGGCTGCAAGCCAAGCGAGGCAGAGGGGTGGGGCAGGAAGAGTCCAGCATCCCGGCGAGCCGGGGTCGCACCAGTGGAGCTTCGGCAGGGCGGCCGCACGGGCGTCCGATGGCCGGCCCTCCACATGAAGCACCGTGTCCTCGGGGTCAGACACGCGCGGGCGAAGGCCCCGGCGCAGCAGGCGCTCCAGGACAGCCAGCCCACCGACCACCAGGCCCTGGCGATGCCAGCCGCCACCGGCCTCCGGCAGGCGATCCGGATGCAGGACCGGCCACAGGGGGTTTCCGCTTCCGAAGGACACGCGCAGCACCACCGTCGCAATGAGCCCCAGCACATGGGCAGCTGTGCAGGCAGGCGGCCGCCCAGGCAAAGTTGACGGGTCGAAGGGTGAGAAAGAGCGCGCGCGCGCACACACACACACGCCCCCCACGCCGGGTCCAAGGCCCGAAAAGGGGGCAAATGTCGAGCAGGACACAGCAATAGCAAGAGAGGAAGGGAGAGGAGGAGAGCGCGGGAAGGGGAGACGGAGAGTCACGCACCAGCAGCCTTGCGGTAGGCTCCAGCCGTCAGCTCCGACAGGGCGGCCGCCTTCAGGATGGAGCTGGCCGCCAGGGCAATGCCACCGAGGCCCAGGCGCTCGGCAGGCTCCTCGACCCAGGCCGCACCGATGCCGGCAGCCAGGGCCACCGCACGAAGCACCGACGCGGCCACATTGCTCCGGGCCACCAGGCGGCGGAGGCGCGGCACGGCCAGGAGAATGGTCATGAAGCTGCCGACGATGGCCGCCTCATGCCCGGACATGCCCATGTTGAAGAGGGGGAAGAACCAAATCATGGTAAGCAGGCTGGTGGCATAGGTCCAGTGCAGGGCCGACTGCACGCAGTCCGACAGGAAGGCCAGCCCGGCACCGAGGGCGCCAGCCGGCCGACCGTGAGTCGCGATGACCGCCGGCACGGCCTGGCCAACCATCGAGCCGGCCGGCTGGTGGACACCGCCGGCCTTGGCGCTGGCCTTGGCAGCGGCCTCGGCCGCCTGGGCCGCCGCCACCGCGGCATTGGCCGCCGCCAGGACCGCCTCATTGTTGGGCACGTCGGCCGCATGGGCCCCACTGCCGACGGCCACCAGGCTGAAGCGGTCGGTAAAGGTAAGCCGGACCCCGGTCAGGTGGTAATTGGCCAGATGGTCGCCCAGCACGTCGATCAGAATGAGCGACCACTCGGCCACGGCATAGCGCGAGTAGGCCCCGCCCACCCGGTGGACCTTGTGCTGGATGTAGAAGTGGGCCCCGACGCCGACGGCCGTCAGGAAGAGGACCGGCACCGCGGCGCGCAGGACCAAATGAAGCCGAGAGCGGTTGGGATCCTGGCGATGTGCCCGGTCAGGCGGCCGGGCAATGTTGTCAGTCCTGGAGCAGGCGCGATGGGTGCATCAAGGGCCGGTGGCCGTCATGGCATGAGTCCCTGAGGGGCGGGGGTGGGGGGGGGGGGTTGCTGACGCGAACGAGGTTCAGGATATGGAAGGTGATGCTGGACAGCAGGTAGACGGCCATGGCCAGCTCGTGCGGGAAGGAGGAGTCCGAGCTGGTGACGTAGGTCCACCCGCCGGCGCTCAGCGCCCGAGTGAAGGCCAGCAGCAAGATCACCAAGCGGAGGAAGCCCGGCGGACTGGGAGCGACAGCGGGAGAGGGAGGGGTGGGGAGGGGGGGGGGGGGACAAGTTGGCTGGCTGTCAGCACTCCGGCGGGCGCCGCAGGAGGAGGAGTCCGTCGCTGTCGTCGTGGATGACGCACCTGGCCGAGTAGTCGGCCAGCATCATGGCAAAGCGCGGGAAGGCCGCGGTAGCCATCAAATACTGGAAGACCGACCGCTGGGGATAGTAGTCCCCGATGGTGGCCGAAATGGAGGGGAACCATTCCTGCAGGTGGGCGAGAGAGAGAAAGGGAGAGAGGGAGTCAGACGCAGAGCGCAAGGGAGGAAGGGTCAGAGGGGAGGGCGCCTTGGTGCTGCGAGGAGGCTTGCACGCGGGGCCCCGCTTGCCAGGGGAGCAACATACCACGGGGTAGCGGTGCCACCGGTTGCGGACGATCTTGTAGTAGTCATACTTGACACCGAGGGCGAGGGCCAGGCCAAAGGCAGCTGCATGTACAGGGAAGGGCGAGGGGGGCGGGGGGAGGAGCGACAGCCACAGCCGAGGCAAGGGCAGGCAGCGGGGCCACAGGAGGGTCAGAGGGCAACGGGAGACGCCGAGAGGCAAGGTGCCAAATGGCGGGACGAGTGGACGAACAGAAAACCAGGATGGTGTGCATCCAAACCGCAACCCGAGCCTGAATGAATGGCCCTCGGGGGGGAAGTGGCGTGGTCGAGAGGGACGCCTTGCCAGTGGGGTCGTCCTGGGCGCTGGAGGTGCGGGCGGGAGGGTGTTCGGCGGCGCCAGCCCGACGCCGGGTGCTGGCAGACGCCCCGCCGACAGTCGACGATCGACCCTTGTCCTGGGGGGGGGGGGGGGAGGCATATGCCGAGATTGTTAGCACGCAGGGCGGTGCAACGGGCCAGGGCACTGCGAGGGGCGAGCCGGAGAACGAACCATTTCGCTCGACGGCCCCTTCTGCAGGGACACGGTCATGCTTTCCGGACGGAGGGGAGGGGGGGGAAGTGGTGTGGTGTGTGTATGTTTGGCGAGGAGAAGGCGACGGGGGTATTTTTCTCGCTCGCGCTCTCTCGCTCTCTCTCTGTCTCTCTGTGTACGTGTGTGTACCGGTGTGATCCACGGCGGGTGCACAGATGGCCAGGGAGGCGCACAGGGGGGGGGGGGAGGCAAATGGGAGGAAGGAGGGAGAAGGCGGGGGGTGGGATATTTCACGGGCTATGCGCCTTGCTCGGGGCTGGCAGAAAAGAGGGCCCACATACCTCGCTTTGGGGGGGGGGGGGGGGGGGCCAAAGGAAAAGGGCCTTCCCAAGACGGCCCTCTGCCGCTTTCCCTCTTGGTACCCGATGGCATGTCGGCCCTGGGAGCCAACCCCCCTGGCCTGGCCTTCCTCGATCGCGTCGGGGGTGGAGCGCGCAGGCGCCCAGCCGGTTGGGCAACCACAGTCCCTCACGTCTCGGCCTGTTGTCGGGGGGGGGGAGGGGGGGGGGGGGGGGGGCAAATTTATAGACGCCACAAGAAGCCCGGGCAGAGCGCTGGCTGGCAGGATTCCCACGCTGGACAGATTCACCCGCCGAAACATATGGCCCTTCAGATGCCTCCCTCGCCGGGAGGAATCACACCGATTAATATGCGGCCTGTGGGAAGAGGAGGGGCCGGGCGCGCGCAGATGTGTGAACATGGCAGTGCCGTGGCGGGCTGGGCGATCGGTCCCGCCGTCCCTCCCGACGATGGGCCCTGACAGGTTTGTCGCTGGGGCTCTGATCGCCGGGCCCATCCGGCCGGGTCGGCCGGGCCCCCCTGCGCTTCCTCCGAACCAGCGTCGTGTGTCCCCATCGGCCCTCGCGCCGAGAGAGCGGCCGGGGCAACCTTTTCACGCGCGCGATCCGGTGGCACTTGGAATCCGCCGCGGCTGTGGGCTCTTTTTCGGGGTCCATGCCCAGCGGTACTTAGACGTGCCGCGGACACCCCTCCTCCTTCCCCTCCTCCTTCTCTTCACCCTCTCTCTCTCTCTCTCTCTCCCCCCTCCTGCCGAGTCACTTGCGCCTGCTCCTCCCCTTCCGGCCCCATCCAGGTGCACATCCCGCCATTCCATTCTCTTCCGGAGCCGCCGCACCCACCGTCACACATACACTGCCTGGAGAGGGGGCCATCAGGCGTGCCCCGGGCCAGCCAGCCAGCCAGCCAGCCAGCAGGCCACCCAAAGACAGGGCCATGTTCACATCGGTCGAGCGCGTCCGCCGACGAACCGGCCGGAAGTCCCTCTCGCGCTCGGACTATCTGTTTGGCTGCTTGGTGACCCTGCGCGATCGCCAAACCGACGACGGTGCGGTTTCCGGTGGGGGCATGCCATGAAGCCAGGGCCCGAAAAGGGCGCCTCCCACCCACCTGGCCGTCGCTGACAATCCCCCCCCCCCTCTCGTTCATTTTTTCTTCCCCCCTGCCACAGCCCACCGGCTCGAGGTCCTCGCACACCTGGGCAACTTCGCCTATGACCCCTTCAACCACCGGTTCCTGCAGCCGCATGGCTTCTCCTCGCTGTTGATGGGTACGTCCAGGAGCCGGCCTCGCCTGCCACCGGTCCCGCCTCTTCGCGCCGATTTTCACGCCCGCACCCTTCGCCCCGCCTTGGATGGCTGACAGCAGCCGATGCACGACCATCCCTCCCCCCCCCCCCGCCCCCCCCTCGGCCTGGTGGCTCACAGCGACAATCGCCGATCCACGGTCCGGCCGGGAGGTACCCCTCCGATGCCCCTGCCCGGCAGCCGTTCGACAGCTCCTGCACCATGCGACCGCCGGATTGGTGAACATTCTGCCTGGCATCAACGTTGGCCCTCCCGGCCGGGACGGCTCGGCGGGCCTCCTGCAGGACGCCTTCAGTGCGCTGCTGGCCGCCTGCCGCGCCGGAGCCGGGGCCTGCGCCCCGACGCCCGGAGCCCCCTCGGCCTTTTTCTTCGACGGCGTGTCGCTCATTTGGCTGGCCTGCCCCCATGGGTCCCCTGGGGTGCCCCCTTGCGCCGTGTGCCGGGACATGCTGCTGCAGGTGACCCAGTCCGCGGGCGAGTGTTGCGCGGTTGCCACCAACGCCGGGTGCTTGGGCGACCGGCTTCGCAGCGCCCCTCCGGACGGCGGGCCTGCCATGGAATGGGCCTGCCTCGACTTGCGCCTGGCCGCCCTGGCCTTGGCCCTGCTTGAAACCCTGGCTGCCGGGCCTCGATCTCGGGAATCCGCCGCCCTGTGTGCGTCCGCCGCTTGGCGATCCTCCCCTGCACCCCCCCTGGCACGCCGGCCGCCTGCCCCTCTGACATGTCTCCCCTGGCTGGCCTGCCTGTGCCTCGCCATCTGCCAATCTCTGCTGGCCTGCCTCTCCGGGGCTCCAGTGGCAGAGCTCGGTGCCGGCATCGACATGGTCGACGCCTGGCTGCCTGGGCTGGAGGCGGTGCAACGCGCGGCGGCTCTACACGCGGCGGATGCTGTCCGCCATGCGCAATCGCTCCAGCACCCGGCGGCGGCCCTGCTTCGGGAGCATGCGCCCACCGGCCGGCCGGCCGTTCTGCGGCCACTTCATCAAGCCGCCAGCCTGGCGGCCCAGCTGGACTGCGCTCGCCAGAGTGCCCGTCTCGCGGCCGGTGCTCCGCCCCCGCGGCGGGACGACGGCCAGATACCCAGCGAGCCGGGTGGCGAAACTGGGTGAATGGCCCCCGGCGTCCGTTGGCACATGGCTCATGCCGATCGCCCCCGCCGCCCGTCCCACCCGCGTGCACTTTGGCGATCTTGTTAGCTCGCGCCTCCGGCCGGTGGGTGTGGCGCCGCGGCTCGCCC